CCCCCCCCCCCCGTCTCTCTCCAGGCTACTGGTTTGGCATTGAGCTTGAGAAGCCCACCGGCAAGCACGATGGCTCAGTCTTTGGAGTTCGCTACTTCACTTGTGCCCCTAAGCATGGAGTCTTTGCTCCCCCTTCCAGAGTCCAGAGGTGGGTTGGATTGTTTTCCGTGCTTAGAGCGTGTGTGTGTGTGGTGGATGGACTGATGGACTTGGGACTCAGGAGGCCTGGGTTTTAATCCTTGCTCTGCTGTGGAAACTCACTGGGGATGTGGAGCTGTTAAAACAAGTCCTTAGATTATCTCGCTGAGCTTGAAAGCTCTCTTAGGGCCCCTCCCTATAAGTCGCTGCTGACGTGACGTCACAGGGCGGCGACCAAGACCAGGAGAGTGGGCCTCCTTCCCGAAATACAAGGACGACTCCTTTCCCCTTCGTTACGTGTCCATCTCAGGGGAAGAATCCAGCGTGCCCGAGGTCCTTTAGTGTTTCTCTTTTGGAGGTGTTCCTCTGCTAGCGATGGGTGCCGCAGTCCGTGCCTGGTTCTGCCGCTCCATCGGAACGTTCTGTGAGAGCTGCTCAGCCGCCTCCTCGAGGTCACCTCAGAGTGGGCGCGCAGTTCAGCCGTTTGAACCTGCCAGCCTTGGGTGTTTTGGGGCAGTGGGCTCTGGGGGCGGCCCTGCCTTGTTTCTTCGTTGCCTGCAGAAGGTGGGAAGCCGACCCCTGTGCATTCGGGGCCGTGGTGCCCTTCGGGTGACAGAGTGGCTGGGCTTACACCCCGTGGGCTGCAGGAGGGAGGGATGAGCGGGGAGAGGCTTCCCGACAACGGGCCTCACTTGCGGCTTGCCTTGTTCTCAACCTGGGGGTTGATGAGGATCTTCTCTGCTGCAGAATCGGAGGCCCAAAGGACTCGCAGGGGGACGGCACTTCCTCGAAGAAGGTCCACCAAGTCACCAGTAGGTACACTGAGGGCTCTGTTCATAACCAGCCCCTTCCCCACAGACTCACAAAAATCTCCCAGCCCTCCGGAGCCCACCAGCCACTTGGGCTTTCTCATGTGTGCAAAATAAGCACAAACGCAAGCAGGCAGCTGGGGGGCCGCTTCCCTGCCGCTGCTTGAGCGGGAGAAGTGTGGCCTTCTCTGCTTCAGATAAAGGCTCTCTAGCCCCCTGCCAGCAGGGGGGTAGGTGGGGGGCACAGGGGTTTCACCCCGCACAGTAACCACTGGGGAAAAAAGGGTGATGAATCTGTTCTGAGGAGGTGGAAAGTGGGATTTCCTAAGTGGACCTATTGAGAAAATATAAATTTGCCTTTTTTGTAAGACAAAGTTTGGGGACTTTGCTCGAGAGTCTACCTACTGCATCTCTTAAGTGATGGGGGCCAAGAATCTCCCCCCATTCTGGATTCCTCCTGCAAAAAAAGATGCAGGAACACCTGGCATCGCACACAGAGTTGGTTTCCTTCTCTGCCTATAAGAGACCCCCCCTAAACCTGACCCTTATTTCTCTGTCTTTGTCACTCTTCATTCTGTTTTCCCCCCTATAGTTTCACAGCCAAAGCGCAACTTCACAGCTGTCCGGACTCCGAAAGACATCACATCAGAAAGCTCCATTTCTAGGTAAGAGCTGTTGGTGGGGGGTGGGGGTGAGATTGGTCACTAGCTAAGGAGCTTCTTTCCTGCTGTAGCCCCTGGACTTGGTTAAAAAGTCGGTTTGAACTGACCATTATCACTTGGGTTATTGCTTGAATTTCTTAAATGTGTTGCTGAACTTCATTTTACTGTGGTGAGAAATACGACTCACGTTATTAAGATAGTCTGAGCACAGTAAAAGTAGCCCAAATACTTTATAAACAAATAAAAACATGGATCAGAGCCATCCAGTTAGCTTCATAGCAGGGTAGGATTTGGTCTCCCATGTTCAAGCCCACGCTGGCCCATTTAGAACCAGCTCAGTGCTAGAGCTAATGCCAACCAAAGTGTTTTTAACTGCTGCATCTCAAAGAACTGATTCCAAGGGAGACATAGTTCTCATTTTAAAAAGGTACACCAAGAAGCTTGGGAGCTTTAGTGCAAGGGCTGGCAAGGTTTGGCCAAAGGGCCTCCACTTCAGCCCAGGGCAAAAAAGCCCAGAGGTCTCTCTGGAGGATGCAGTTGGTTTCTTCACCACCCCGCCCCCCCCCAGTTTAATCCCCAAACAAGGGTCCTATAGAACCAGAAGAAAATGTAGGGTTCCAGACGATGCAAGCTTGTATTTACTGTTTCCGGCTTTGCTGCTTCCTGTCCTCCGGCACTGCTTGGTCATGAACTGAGCTCCCGGACGCTTCTCTTTGTATCCTGCAGGTTACTTTTCTGCTGTTGGTTTCCGTGGATGCTCCGTGCAGAAATGCAGTCATAAAGGTCTCTGTGTCCTCGCTCTGTCTCCCTTTCCTTTGCTGTTTCTTCGCTCTCCCAAGTAGTCCAAGACTGCTCTTCCGTCCTTTTTTCTCATTTCCCTGAATGCTGTTCTAGTGAACCCAGTGCCTTGTTAAAAACCTATAAGCCCCCCACTCCCACCCCCGTAGTCTGTGAGAAATGCCACACCTGACGTCCTTTTGATCCCTTCTTACTCAGCACACATACGAGGGGCGGGATTTGGACTCAAGAGGACGCTTTGAGCACCTCTTCCCTAGCAAGTCGAATAGCAACTAACACATGTGTGACTAGAAGAAATCTTAGTGGATTAATCAGTGATGGCCACTATAGCGGTGGTTTGGACAGAAGACTTCAGGGGCCTTCCTTTGGCATGTGTAGAATAGAACCCAAACTCGCTGAATTCATAGCCGTCCTTCCCGGAAAGCCACAGGTGCAAACCAACGCCTCTTGGCAGAAGCAGGACCCCGTTGCTTGAGACAAGAGCAGCGTCCATGACACCCGCATGGAGGGATGAGCCAGGATTCTGGGGGAGGAGCTTCCTGCCCTTCTGCTTGAGCCCAGAACAGGCCTTGCCCCCCCCCCAAATCTTGGCTCATCAAGGGAGTGGGGAGTTAGGATCCCTGGCATAGCTGGGACACCAAACCAATCACTCAGCTGGGCTTAGCCTCTTGCATTAGAGCAGGGGCAGCTCCGTGGGAACCGAGGCGCTTGTTCCCGGTCCACTCAAGCTCCCTTCTTGTTCCATGCCAACACAGCCGTTCTCTGCCCTCTGCTCTCTTCCCGTCCTGCCCAGTTTGTCGCAAAACCTTACCCTAGGCAGCCACCGCAATTCCCTTATCATGTAGTCCTATACATGTCTTTGCTCAGAAGCAAGCCACCACTGAGTTCAGTGGAACTTACTCCCCAGTAAGTATGTAAAGGATTGCAGCTCCGAGCATGGCGGGACTCTGCCGCCGTTCTTGTTCCAAAGCAGGGGGCAGGAGGTCAGTCATCCACCCCAGGAGTGCCATGGAAATTGAGCTGCCTGGCTGGCACGACCACCTGAGCCAACCTTGCTTGTTGATTCAAAGAGTGCTCTCTTTTTTTGTTTTGCTTGTTTCTGGTTAAAATAGCACTCTGTGGCATTGAAATCCAAAAGGACACCTTGAGTGACAGATGGCGGGCTGAGTTTCGCTTACAATCATCATTGCAAAGTCACATAACAGGGATGAGTAAATCTTCCCGTTAACGGCCTTTGGATGGTGTGTCATGTATGTGTTTGTCTCTTGGTATCTGAAATCTGTACTTCCAGAAGTCACTTTACGGTATAAAAGAAGTGATGTGTGTAAGTCAGGGAGTATTTTATTGAACTTATCTAAACTTATCTAAACTTGTCAGCTGCATTTTAATTTAGCTTGGTAGCATTTCAAAGTTTGCTCCACGATTCCTGTCCTCCTTGGGCAAGAACCAGTAAATTTGAACTGCAGAGTTTTTGGTGTGAATTTAAACAGCAAAATACACAAATCTGAAATATGAATTATGTCAATCTTCCAAAGTTTTGGTGGAGGGAATTATACGTGCCTGCATCAGCACCTATAATTAGGGGATAAAATCTCATTTTCAGCCCAAGAAGAAAGGAATCTGAGGCTGTTATGGTACACATGGGGAAATCCTGGAGCCTTTTCTGGGTTCTTTCTTTACTGGGTTTACTTTCACAGGATGACATTTAAAACATTGTGAGACTTTACATTCAAGCCGGATAGCATTTTTATTCAGCAAGAGCAGACTATTTTTTTTTAAAGTGTGTATATGTCCCTTTCAAGCATTTTGAGCCCTTCTCCCAGCCTGGGAGAGGAGTAGAGAAGAGAAACCCCTTTGCTAGTCCAACCCAGTTCTGAGCCAATGGCTTTTCCGTCCGTCCTTCTGAAGGTGCCTCCGTTTCTTCCTCATGGCAGCTTGAAATTCACCTTAGATGCAGGAAGAAGCCATCCTGAAAACTGGCCAGAGAGCTGGGGGGAGGGGGAGGAGGACGACTGGCCCTTTAAAGGTCCTTTGGCTTCCTTTTTGGTCCTTTGCACAGAAATGCAGCTGCTGTGGCAGTTGGCACTCGGTGCCTGCACCCCAAAAAGGTTGCTAACTGTTGGTTTTCTGTGTGTACCACAAATGCTGCAAGATCAAAGCTTCTACGAGAAAAACGGCCAACACAGGAAGCTGAGGAGGCTTACATACCCCTTGTTGGCTGACAGGTGCAGACATTGGTGGCCTTCCAGCCAAAAAAGGACCATTTAGGAAAGACACACCTGTACAGATGTATCCATTAAGTCTTGGAAGCGATCACTGATTACCTGGAATCCCCCTCCCGCCCCTTTCCCCATACCTCTGCCCCATTCCCCTTGCTGTTGATGTTGTTGTTATGGTGTTTGGGATGCCAGGCTGGCCCCCACATTTCGCCATCAGCTTGTCATCACTAAATCACAAGCACACCCACAAACCCCTCCCTCCCTCTTCACTGGCTCTTTTAGCTCTCTTGGTAGCTTCTTAGGAACCCCTTTGTACATGTTGGTTGACCAGCAATAAATAAGCCTTCCAACCGATCCCAGCTTTCTGCCCTAAGACACACTGCCCTGTCCCGCTTTGCAGCCTTGGGCAGTGCCTGCTGTGGGGTCCCCGGCTGGGACTGCCCCCCTCCCCTGAAGATGGGGACCTGGCCCCTGGGAAAGATGCCCTGCCTGCCCCATGGAGTGGCTTCCTGTGGCATTCCTTTCTTTTCCCTGTAGAGACCACACTGGATTGTGTTCTTTCTGCCCACCTGTATATGTTTATTTTTCAAAAACTAATAATAACTTTGTAAACTGTCAAGTGAGATGATGGCTTCTCATGCCTGTGCTGAGCTCTCTCTGTTGAATCTTGCATGACGGGCCTTCCCTGGTTTCCCCCTCCATCCAGGCTTGTTGGAAGAAAAGGGGGGGGGGATCTTAGCATGTTGGAAAAATGTATCACTATGCTATTATACTGTTGCTTATCTGTTACTAACAAATTAATAAAAAGTGTTTCTATGTGCACGGTGTCCAGACTTCTTCCTTTCTGCCTCTTTTTGATCTGCACACGAGGGAGGGCCCCAGGACCACGGACGGACTCTGAACCCAATTCCATACCCGAAAGGCCTGTGTCCTCTTCTTGCCAGAACTAAAACACAGCAAACCCTTCATTTGTCTCCATTTCCCTCTCAAACCTTTTCACTCTACTACCCGGTCTAAGTGGAATCAAAAGATGCATATTCCCAGAAATGTCTGAGTAAAATTGAAACCCATATCTAGGAGCAGCTTGCTAGAAACCTTACTTTCATTTTCGTGCACCCTAGGTTTTATTTGGGTTTGTAATATACTTTATCATGAACTCCGAGAATACTTGAGACACACACAGTCTGAGCGACAGCAGAAAGCAGTTTCATTTCCAAAAGGAGATCCCACGTTATGTTTCAGGGGTTATACTCTGACTATCCAGTTATATATACCCCCCCCCCAAACACACAACAAAAGCAGTCTCATGGCACATACGTACATCGATATGCTCATAAATGTTTTCCATTTGTGGAATGCAACTGGGTGTATATTTGGGGTTCAGATGCTACAGTCCCAGAGGCTTAATCGTCCACCTACGTCGTTGGTCAAATGCCTCCCACCAGGCCCCACCGAGTTCAAACCCGGTTCTAGTACGGAAGACAGCTCATGGTCACTGATCGCAGTGACCCACCTGCTTTAGGACTGTGACCAGTATAAACCAGCCGTTCAAGTTCTGACATAAAGCTTCACAGGCTGTTGTGAGTTACCCTGATATGAACACAACTGTATCTGAGTTGGCTAATAAAAACTGAAAATTTAAACATTGTGTTATTCCAGCGGTAATAGCAAAACATCTCCCTTTTCAGTTGAACTGCGTGGTCAGGGCCTGCTTGTGGGTCTCGGTCGACCCCACAAAAGCCAAAGGCTCAGATAAATAACTGCGCTGCTATCTCAGGTGCTTCTGCGGGACAAAATTACTGAATACCGGAATCTGCGGAGCATCTCCTGATGGAGGGGGGGGGCCTTGAGCGGGGGGGCAC